TTTTCGTTAATACATTCCGGATCTCACAGTTTCGTCTATTTGGACATTAATTGCACAATGCAACAAATTGCAAGGTCATAAAAACTTTTTTCGAAAATGTAGGTGTTCTTTATGTATTTTGACCTCCTGAATTCGAAAATGTTACTCAAAACATTGTCACACGCACAGTTTTTGCACAAATCGCATTTTTTGCAATAATGATAATATATACGAAAACACCTCAATGCCTCAATACCTTGGCCATTCTGTGCACCTGAAAGAAATATATGACAACGTTAAGGCACTTCTTACTACCATTAATTATGAGAATCACAATTGGATGGTGTGTGGTGATTTGAAAGTGTTAAGTATGCTTCTAGGAAAACAATCAGGATATACCAAGTTCCCCTGTTTCATCTGTGAATGGGACAGTCAAGCTCGTGACAAACATTGGGAGCAAAAACAGTGGCCTCGAAGGTTGGAATTGGTTCCAGGGGACAAAAATATTAAGTGTGACCATCTAGTGGGAAGAGAGAGAATACTCTTATTACCTCTGCACATCAAATTGGGCATAATGAAGCATTTTGTCAAAGTATTAAATAAGTGTGGCAACTGTTTCAAATAGCTATGTTACAAGTTCTCCAACCTGTCAGATGCTAAGTTGAGAGAGGGTGTGTTCACTGGTCCCGATATTCGGAAAGTAATGCTAGATGAAGATTTCCTTCATTCAATGAATGCCGTGGAGCGAGAAACCTGGACTGCCTTTAAGTGTGTGGTTCAAAACTTGTTGGGAAACAATCGTAACCCAGAATATATCAATATAGTTGAGAACATGCTGATAAAATTCAAAATACTCGGATGCTCAATGAGTTTGAAATTACATTTTTTTAAATTCGCACCTTGACTTTTTCCTCTAAACCTGGGTGTTGTAAGTGAGGAACAGGGTGAAAGATTCCATCAGGATATCAAGGACATGGAACGACGATACCAGGGGACTTGGGATGTTCCGTTGATGGGCGACTACTGCTGGATGCTTCACCATGAGCACATAACGGAAATTTAGCATAAGAGCAAAAGCAGGGGTCACGCCATGACAACTAAGAAAGCACGCAATGAATTATATTAGTGCATGCTTCGTACCACATTTTCTGTATGCATCTGTTCACTGTGTATATATTTCAATATGTTGTTGTTATAAACTTATATTCTACTTCTGCATGATTCATGTGCCATATATATGTACTACTTCTATATATGATATTATTATTGAGAAAATATGCGATTTGTGCAAAAACTGTGGGTGATACGATGTTTTGAGTATCATTTTCGAATTCAGGAGGTCGAAATACATAAAGAACTACATTTTCGAGAAAAGTTTTTTCACTGTTGCATTGTGTTATTAATAGGACATTTATACTGGTTTTCTAAGTTTTTACGCAAGAATTGATTAAAAAGTACTTAAAGAGAATAGACATTCTTTATTGATCTACAGGTAGCTCAATAAAGAATGTCTATTCTCTTTAAGTACTTTTTAATCAATTCTTGCGTAAAAACTTAGAAAACCAGTATAAATGTCCTATTAATAATTAATGTCCAAGTAGACAAAATATATATTAAGAAACTAAAGAATAGTAATAATTAATCATTATAAATTTGACTGCACTATTAAAAAAACCATTACAACAAAGCTATATATAGACATCATATGATGTCATCTATGAACAATATGAAGAAAAAAATTTTTTTAGGAAAAATTGTTTTCTAGAGAATGATTTTTCCAGGATAAACACGTTACGAAAATCTGTAAAATTGTGAATTATATATGGTTGACACTTCTGAGTTTGAAAACAGTTATACTGTATTCACTTTCTATACGTGGCACTGAATGCAAAATAGAATTTGCATTGCAGTTTAAAATTGCATTTGTAAACATTACTAAATAATACATTTGATTCCGATAAACTCGGTATACATTAGTTAAAACGTAATACATCTTCAAATCAGAACTTTTTCTGCATACATATTTATATATTAAAAATTCAAAAGCAATTGCGAAGTTGTGTTTTTAAATTTCAGGGAAAATGTGAATTCATTGGAAATTTCAATGTATTGGAAAATTCAGAAATGCTTACAGGAATTTTGCCAAAGGAAGAAATCGCTAAAAATAGCATGGATTTAGAGACTGTGGTTTTCAATGATGAGGAAATAATCGGAATCACTCAATCTGAAGTAAATAATCACATTGTAGACAGTTACCACGGCGATGCGGTAAGGATTACTTGTTTATTAGACTATTATCTCAGTAAAAATTAACACAGTAAAATAACTGATGTTATGCAGTTTTAATTTTTTAATATTGATTTTATTAACTTTTTCTCGTAAATAATTTCTAATTACAACAAAAATTATTTGATGATATAGATTAATTGTTATAAACGATTTAAAAACGTTTTCACTGGATAATACTTCTATCTTTAATCTTTATATTTCTATTAGCATTAATGTTTTAATGGCTGAGCCATAATTTTGTGAGAGGAATAAAAAACGCCTCCTGGGTAAAGATCTCACATTACTTGTGAATTCAATTGGGATACAAGAACTCGTGTTATAGCGCCGGATCCACATACGCGAAAGCCGGATCGACCCAGCTTTCGCGTATGTGGGAACTACTGGCCTGAGACCAAAGGAAAAATTTCAGGCGGGGAACCAGAAATGATTCAATTTTCTACGAATATAATACAAAACAATAAAGATTTTTTTAAGCTTAAGAGATTATTGAGGTACACTACAATAAGCAGAGATTATATCTAAACTAGATTTATCCACAGAGTTTACCTGCTAGTATGTGAAATTACTACAATATAAATTATTAACGATTACCTCTACAAAAGCCCCTATCTCTGAATAAGTTAGATTACAAATTGATTTCGTATCGATACAATTCTCTAAAATAACTATGCCGAGGAGTTCCTTCGTTGATTCGTTCCTTTCGTGGATAGCTAATTTGGCAAATATATAAATCAATAGCACATGAAAAAGATGCAGTTCCAGTGATATGCTGGCATAACTTGGGAAGATGTAACATTGGAATCTTCATGAAAATTTCGATCTCAAATTGGAACTTTCGATATCTATATACATCCTGTTTATATTACAGTAGTCGTCAATTTTCCGAAAGTCAGTCATCCGAAACGTCAATCATCCGAAAGAATTCCAGTCGGCAAATTTAAATTTTCGCCAGTGCTGTGGCGCTTCAATCTTTGGCTATGTCTTGGACTACTGAAATATTTTACTTTTTTGATACTAAATTAACATCTGAAGTATAATTTTTTATTGTTTTTATATTTTCAAAATATTTATTTTGTTTGTACAAAATAAAAAAATAATTTTTAACGATACA